ACCCCCTGCGCCCAAGCCCTGGGGCAGATCTTCGTGTGCCTGTGGAAGCCGCTGGACACCACGGTCGTCTACGAGTACGAGGCGCGCAGGGACGAGTGGCTSCCCGTCACCGACCTCAAGAGGCCGCAGAGCTACGGGCACTGCATGGTGGCCCACCGCGACAACCTCTACGTCATGCGCAACGGGCCCTCGGACGACTTCCTGCGCTGCGTCATCGACTGCTTCAACCTCACGTCGCGCCAGTGGACCACCCTGCCCGGGCAGTTCGTGAACAGCAAGGGAGCCCTCTTCACCGCCGTCATCAGGGGCGACACGGTCTACACTGTCAACAGGATGCTCACGCTGCTCTACTCCGTGGAGCAGGAGACCTGGAGGTTCAAGCAGGAGAAGGCCGGGTTYCCCCGCAGCGGCTCCCTCCAGACCTTCCTGCTGCGGCTGCCGCGACGCGACCACGACATCGCCACGTAGGGCGCCCGCCGCGGCCCCGCGTTCCCGCCGCTCYGGCACGCGGGATCGCCACGGCCCGTCCCACGGCAGGGCAAGGGAGGGCAGGGAAGGACTGCGGCTCCAACCCGACAAGAGCAGCAGGGACTGGTCACGGGAAACGCAAACGTGGGGTTGATTTATGCTCTCATGCCGTGTAGCGACCCCCTTGCTCTCTGTCTGGCCGGGAAGTTATTCCTTCTGTCTGGGAATTAAAAGGCAAGTCTTAAAAATGAACCATGTTTTTCATTATTTTTTCTTTTTTTTTTTTTTTCTTTTAAATAAAGTCTCCTTCTGAAGGAAACCTAAGCCGGCCGCGGTGCAGTGGGGGACGCAGCGGGACCGCGGCCCTGCCCGCCGAGCGCTTTCTCAGCTGCGCTTTAGCAGCCATGCCTGCAAGGGCATTTCCCACAGCAGCGAGCGGCATCCCGGGGAAAAGCTCCAGGGAGCTGATCCCGCTCAAAGAAGCAGCCGCGCGGATCCGAGCGAGGCCGTGGGGGAAGCTCTGCCTTGCAGCTCCTGACGCCGGATCATCTCCCGGCGCAGGACCCCGCGGAAGAGGGAAACCCCGGGACAAATCACCGCTCCTCACTCCGCGCCTCCTCTTCCCCAGGCGAGCCTGGCTGCTGCAGCCCCACGTCCGTGTGGGGCTCTGGCGCCCGGGCGCCGCTCCGGCCGCCGGGCACGTCGGCAGCCTGCGGAGAACATGACACCGGCGCGGCCGCCCGCGGCTATATCGGGCAGCGCCGTCCTGCCAAGGGCGCCCGCCGCGGTCCCGCCGGGCCAGAGGCGCCGGGGACGCGGCCCCCGCGGGGCTCCCCGCCGTGGGCGCAGGGCAGGAGAGCGCGGGGCGCGCCGGCTCCGCGCCGCGGCGGTGGGAACAAATCCCCCGCTGATGGGAACTGGCACCCGGCCCGGGCAGCGGGTGCTGATCTGTTCCAGGCAGATATTTGTGCGTTGGCACCAGCGGCTGCTCCTGAAATCACAAAGCAAAGCCGAGCCCGGGAAACACGAGGGGGAGAAGCGAAGCCAACGGCATCAACGCRACAGCCCTGCTCAGAGATGCACGTCACCAGCAGCAGGTCCGGTCCCGACTTGTCTTGCCACACGTGCCATCCCGTTGCGCTGTGCTGGTTTGTGCACCGTGCCACGTGCTTGCTGGACCAGCCCGGAGCTCTTGCACATCTTGGCCTTGCCTCTGCCTCTGTCCCTCCAAGCTGGGACACCAAAGTGGGTTCCAGGTGTGACAGAGATCCGGGGCTCTTCCCACGCCGCTGGCAAAGCCGGCATCGCACCCYGAGCGCTGCACAAGCAGTTTCCCATAAACCAGGGAGGCTCCCGGCCACCAGCGCCTCCCCGGCGCAGCGGAGGAGAACACCCGCGGAGGCCTCTCGTGCTTATGCTTTGACCCTTGCCATGTTCTCAGCAGTTTCAAAACAGTTACTGCACCAAAAAAAAARGCAGGCTCGCATCCGTGTCCGCCTGTGGAAATCCTCCATGCGCCTGTCCCCGTTTACCCTCCATGAGCGGGAGCCAGCTAAGACYGAAGCCTGGTGGTGACACAAGCAGCATCTCAGGACACGGAGCATGGGAAGGTGCTTTAGATACTTATTGCTCCTCAAAGAGGACCATCATGGGCCTGGGGTATGGACAGCAATATGTCAGAAGAACCTCTTGGCATCAGTCTGTGCTGTAGAGACCAACCGATTGCTGCTACACTTGAAAACCTCTGGCCTGATGTCACCACAGGTCATGTCAGGACAAGGTCTGYAAGACCAAACCAAGTCATCTTGACCTGGGCTCTCCTGGCCACGTTTCCTTGCTGATCTGAAAACAACCATGTCCTCTGGGAACAAGCCAGCCCTGCTCAACAACTAAAATACCTGTTCTGGAAAACTTTGATTCCAGGTGGAAATCGAAGGAGGAGCCCCATTCTTCTGGACTTGTCACCTGCCCTGTCCAAGGTTTTCCCTTCATTGGCTCAGCTGAGCTCAGAATCATCTTTGATTTCCTGTTCTAAAAATCTCTCTATTTTCCTCTGAAACAGAGCTTTAGTTGAGATGAGGATGCTCAGGAACAACCCAACAACTGCTTCCTACAACAAGGCTGCCCTTTCCCTCTCCATCCACATTCCTAGAGTCTCCTGTGTTCCCCAGGCCAGTGCCGGAAGGAATTCCAGGCTCAGCTCTGCGCGTGCCCTGGGAAGCTGACACGCGTCCCCGCGAGCCGCTAGCACAAATTCCAGCCAGCCAGATCCTGGCTCCCTCTTGGATGAAGCCAATTAACATTTTCTGCTGTCTTCTCCCTCCTAAAAGCGGCACACGTGAGGCACTGCGCCTTCAACTCTTTTAAGTTGAATAACCAGTTAAAACCCACTATTAAAATAAAGTTAAAATAATTATGTTGTCACAATATTCCTGACAGGCTTCTGTAACTAAACCAAGGCAGTTTAGCTTGGCAGGCTTGTCCTCTTCTTCCAGCACTGGAAAGACCAGGCAACGCAACCGCCCCTCCCACCTTCGTACCTTCTTTCCTCTTCCTTTTTTCCATAGCTCACAGGTTTGTAGAGATATTTACTGATACAATGCACATTTTTTTAAGATTCTAAGTGCAACTGGAGAGAAAAAGCAAGTCTTGGCAGTCACTAGTGCGTGTGGCATGGATGCTCCCAAGAGACAGGTATCTTGGTTGCATCTATCTATGCAGCAAGCACTACCATAACCCAAGACAGTGAGACCGCTGGCTTAGCTGCTCGCTGTCCTCACAGTTCAGCTGCATGAGGCTCTGTAGCTGCAATGAGAGAAGATGCTGTCCTTACCTCTGCCAACTGTGATGGATAAACCCACAAGCCATGACCAGGAGAACCTCAAAGCACCACGTGTGTCTGCTCAGCCGCTGCCCAGCGAGCGGGTGCCACCCCATGAGCTTGACTTGCTTCTCCAGAACTTAGTGCTCTGATTTAGGCATTGCTGGCAGGGACCCGCCGCCCTTATCAAGCCCTTTAAATCTTCATGGCGTTGACTTCGCCAAAGGCTACAGCTAGAGGCTTGGCGATACATCTAATCATAGTTTAACCTTCTGCAAGTTTCTCTTGAAGGTGACATCATCTTGGCACGGACGCATGTCATGAAAAGCTGCCTGTAGAATGGACTTGCCTTATAAGGGCCGTATCAAAAATAAAAGCTTGTATAACCAAGCGAAATCTCCTGCAGGAAAAACGGGGATGTGAGAAGAGCCTTGTGCTCGCCGCACAGATGGGCTCAACACAGCCTGTTTGTCAACTCGGGACAGCGAGGCATCTCTGTATCTTTAAGCTGAAACCACAGTTTGGTGCTTACGGTTCCCTCTTAATGCCAGAAAATCATGAGAAACACAGATCTTCATGAAATAAAGCTCTCGGATCTGGGCAAAGTGACTCTTTTGACGTAGCCTCAAGACTCCCTGTCTGGGCTCCGCATCCACGGGCAGCAGCTCTCAGCAAGGACACTGTGCAGATATCATGTGCTCAGAGCCCACAGAAATTAGACTTAAATAGAAAGAAAAGACAAGGATGAACACTGCCATGGAGGTGTATTCCTGTGTCCTGGGGTTCGCAAGCTGCTAACACAAACAGGGAAGGAAGAGGGATTGTTCTGGCGGGATGGAAGAGCCTTGTGCTAGGAGATCTGCTGGAAGGATGAGATGGAAAAAATGGTAAACACTTTGCAACTAATTAAGATTCGTCTCTGCTAAGTAGTGCCAGTTGGCTTCTCCATTTGAAAAGACACAATAAATACATTGAAAAGCCTCTCCCACAATCTTTACTCAAAGAAATTACAGCTGTATCTAATTCAAAGGAAAATAATGTACTTTCTGTGGAAAAAAAATAAATCCATTGTTACACTGCCAAAGCCAAAGAAACGTCTAGAAAGGTGATGCGAATCTTCTGTCTTCCCTATTTCACATATACATAAAAATCCATTTGTGTCTCCAGATTTTCCTGGCCTTGACACTTGTGCAGAACCTGACTTTGAGCTGCTGTCATCACAGTTCAGGGGGACATCCATGAATGTTCTTCACCTGGGCACAGAATGTGCCCAGAACATCCATGAATGTTCTTCACCTGGGCACAGATTCCCACAGAATTCCCAGGTTCTTCACCTGGCCACAGATTCCATGATACTTCCCAAGCACACACAGCACAAACCCTTGCAGGAGCTGCTTCTCAACATAGCGCACAAACGTGGTGCAGTAGCTACCTCAAACAACAGCAGTCTGCTTTCTTTAACTCTTCACCAAACTGTGTCTTTTTCTTTAGGTTCTCATTTAAAAGGAGATGCTAACGGGATCTGACTCCATTTTGACTACAAGACTCAAACCTAAGTCAGTCTTTTCCAGAAAGGAACCACCAACGTTCCTAGAGAAGTCTTTGGCTTTTACGGAAGCAATCCCTTCTGCTGATTTTAGGAAGCTACATCTGACCACGTTCGCAAGCAGGGCAAGGCAGGACTGCAGCGGCTCCGCTCCGAGTCCACGACACTGAGCAGACGAGCCGGGGCCACCAGCGCCGTGGTGGGAYGTGGACATGGGCCACCGTGCCCGCTCACTGCCTCTGCGTCATGAGCTCCTCCAGCGCCTTCTCCCTGTGGTTCTCGCAGAGCAGCAGTACCTCCTTGATTTCGTTCTGCTGGAAACCCATGTCGTTGAACTGGGCCAGGAGATGTAGGAATTCGGCCGCCTGCGAAGGGAAGGAGGAAGAGAGAGGAGAGACTTTACCCTGGGCTTTTTAAGGCAAATTCACCACGATGTTGCAGCAGGGCCGGATAAAGCAGCGGTGGGTTTGGGCACTGCCGGCAGCACACGGGCGCAGGGCAGGCACACAAGGCCTGGTTTCTAAAAGCTGTCCGTTACTCCAGTTTCTTTCCACAAGAAATATTTAATAAAGTGAGACTCTATCTTCACTTGCTGCTCATAAAATTAAATGTGAATTCCAGGGAAGTGTTTGTGCGCATTGCAGTGCTATTACACCAAACCGGGTCGAGCCAGTAAATGCAATCTGGATTTCATTTGCTCTGCTTTTCTTCTCTCTTCCTCAAGCTGGGTCTCCTTGCCACAATGTCCCACCTGGAGCCATGTTCTCAAAAATTCACCATTTTCCCCCCAGAGAAACGAGGAACATCCACTTTCTGTGGGCTGTGCAATGCTGCATGGCAGTGTTGGGTGCCCGTATGCAGCCTGGCCAGGGCAGAGCAATGGGACCTGCTCACCCAGGAGGCTCTGGAGCATGTTGGGGTGCATGGGGACATAGCCCTGAGCACCATCCCGCTCTCACCTTCTTCTCCGAGTACTGGAACATCTCCATGGCCTCCTCGACCTGCCCTTCCTCGTAGCCCTGCTTCAGCAGCCGGTCGCAGGCACGCAGGTACCCCAGGAACTGCAGGAGAAAACACGGAGGGTTTGGGCCATGCAGCACCGATGCCTCCCTGCCCGAGCGTGGCTGCAGGGAACCTTTCAATGGGGTTCTCCCACCAAAGTCACCATCTCTTGATGCTTTGGGGTGCGTTTTTAGGGGAATCGAAAAGGCTGCAGGTAGATTCATCCCATCCATCACTTGGTGGCACCTYGGACCAACCCGGCTCTCCTGGGGTGGCAACAGCAACAAAGCAGAGGGTGGATGGGAGACAACCAAAGACACAAACCACCCAAGATAACAAGTCACAATCTAATGGCTAGTTGGGCTTTTATTCCTTAAAAAGCAGGTCCTGCCTGTCTGAAGAGCCAGGTGTGCCCTGACCTCTCGCTTTGATGTGCACATGGCCCCGCGGGCCCTGCGCCCACCCCCGGGGGAGGCCTGAGCGCTGTCATTACTGAGAGTAAACAGTTATTTTTGGCCTTCCCCGCCGTTCTTGGAGTGCTGACAGCACAATTCCCAGCGGTATCTTTTAAATGCCGCAGGAATCGTTCCCTGTCCAAAAACATATGTGACGGACRATAATAAATCAATTCTGCTATAGTGGGAGGAAAAAATAAGAAGTCCCCACGTGGAGATTCAGTGAAATTAGTGAATACAGTGAAATATTCAGTGAAAGGCCCCAAAACACTCAGAAAGCCCCCCAAAGTCTCCCCAAATTCGGCTAAGTGGCTATTTCTCCAGCAGCAGCAGAGTAAGGAAATAGTTAAAAACATATTGACAAGCTTTCGAGAGGGACTTGTTAAATCCAGCAGGAGTTGTTCACTGGTCACGTGCATTCCCAACTTGTTTTTATTTTCCTCGTTACCTTGTTAATTAAACCCCAGCATTGCTGTCATTCTCTCACTCTGCATTAGCAACCACCGCCGCTCTCTGTGTTCACAGGACAGTCTTGGCAATCCAACGTTTTGCTCAAGCTGAGCATGAAATCTCTCTGTTGTTGTCAACTCAATGTTTATACATACTTTTTTTTATATAAAAGGAAAGACTAAACAAAAGCAGGTTTTTAAACATGATGACCTGCTGAGCTCTGGGGCTTAGCGTGGGGCTCATCCTCTGCTGGGAAGGAGGATCCCGCTCACACTGGGAACGATGCACTCCAGAGCCAGCAACTCTGCCCTCCCCAGCTGCAAGGTGCCCTGATTCTGGAGTAACCCCAGCAGAGGCATCTCTGGAGAACCCCAAAATCGCTTCACAACCTGCTCCTCTCATAGCACGTAACCTCAAACCCCTGCCTTGCTGGAGCAGGTCACCTCTTTGCTGCACCGGTGCTGCTCAAGGTGATATTCAGCTTTCTCCGTCAGAGACGGGCTTGGGCAGCGAGTTGAAGTAAATCTCCTCCTGACGGCTTTATTATTATTATTATTATTATTATTATTATTATTATTATTATTATTATTATTATTATTATCCTCCAGGTGTGCACTTCCCATGGAAAGGCTTGTCTCTAGGAGGTCCCTGCTTCTGAGAACTGGCTGCTTAAGCAGTGTCAGGTCCAATGGCTGTCATTGCCCTGACCCACCTGGAACAGTGTGGAGATGACATCTACCAGCGAGGACAGGGAGCACCGGGAGGAGAAAAACCAGCAAAACCCACTGAAAACCCAAATGGTGACTCCCTTGTGGAGGGATGGGGGAGAAACCACCTCTCGCCCAGAGCCAAGCTCAAGCCAAGGAGGGTAAAGCCAGCGCTGAACAGGTGCCCAGAGCACAAGTGGCTCTCCAGCAAGCTCACAACCAACACGTGCTTTTCTCACGCTGCCKCTAACGGGCCTGCTTAATTAATTACCGCAGGCACTGTCATCAAGGATGTAATGTCTACAGCCGCGAAGAGGCTCGCGGAGTCCCCGCGCTGGTGGGAATGGCTGGCGGGAGCCTTGCAGGAAGCGCTGCGGATCTCGGCTGAGGAAAGCGAGGAGCAAATCCGTGTGGAGGAGGAAACGTGGCAGGTCTTGCATTTTGCTGCATTATCAACTCTTCAGGGAAGCCCATGGATGCCCGTGGAGAGTTGGCTCGGAGGCAGCTGATGTGGTGGGTTGTGTTCCTCAGGAACCCACCTCCATCCGAAGCATGTGCCGAGGAGCTGCAGCCATCTGTGGTGTCTGATCTCAGCAGCGCGCTCAGAGCTCCGTGGATCAGCGAGGCTTTTCCATCCTCTGCTCCCAAAAGGGTCGGTCTTCGCCCGTGGCTGTGACTCCTCATCCTCACGCTACCTCCTACCACACCGTGGCAATGCTAACCCCGTCGGAGCCTTTCGAGGAGATTCTTCCCCCAAAACGGAGCCAGCATTGCCTCCTTAAGGCTCAGCAAAGCTTGCTCTCTGCACCCGGGTGGGTTCTCCCTGTTCTACTCAACACTGTGAAGAAATAGAGCAATTTTTGGCTACCATCTGGCGCCACTATCAATCTTGCTGTTTGAAGCTGTCATCGTCACACATTGAAACCCTGTGTGACACCGACGAGCAATGGAGAGTGTCCACGGCTCTTGTTTTCAAACTTTAGTTGAAACATATTTTCCAGGGAGGACTCAGCCTAATTTGGTAGTTTCGCACTTGTACAAGAAGCTTCCAGAGCAAGGCCTTTCATCTCAGCTTGGTTTTCTTGGGCGTAACGCAGGGAGACAGGACCTTCTGGTGAAGATGTTGGGATGCAAGGTAGATCTTGTAGTCTGCTGCACTAATAATCACCTCTCAGAGGATGGATGAGATGCACGACACAGGGGAAACAGCTTCCCATCAAAGTCAACAGTTGCTCCCTGTATCCCTGCCATTTCCCCATAGATACAAAACTTCATGGATCAAACAAATAAAGCTCCTGCTTYGGCTTAGAGTCCCCTCAACGCCAACAAGAGTAGGGTTGGGAAGGCTGGTGCAGCCCAGGGCAGGGTGGCACCTTAGGGGAGATGCCAGCACAGAGCTGGGATCTGCACCATGCAGCAGAGCAGCTTCCTACCCGGATCAGGACATGGACCAGGACCAGATCTGCTACGGCCATCCTTGGACCACGCTGTCTGTCTGTCTGTCTGTCTGTCTATCTATCTATCTATCTATCTATCTATCTACCTACCTACCTACCTACCTACCTACCTATCTATCTACCTACCTATCAAATATATCTATAATATATATATGAAGCTTCAAAGCAAAATCCAGATGAGTAGAAGGGCTCCCTTGATACAAGGGGCTAGAGCTGCAGCCCGGGAGCCAAAGGCACCACTTGTGCGGAGGCAGAGCTTGCTCCAGTGGGGAATCTTGTGTCTTGGAGCGAGACCAGACAAATCCGGGCGGTATTTACACAGTCCCGTTCTGACAGGATGAGCCATGGAAATAATCATATGAATCTAGGGGCTGGGGAAAACAAAGAAAAATGATGTGCGAAAAGTTTCCATATAAGGGGGCAAAATTTATGCTTCCAAAGGACGCTAGGCTTTGTACAAMAGATCTAAGGGCTAGTGCTACCCAAACAATATTGCTCACTGAAAAGCTGGGAGCAACTCATTGCAATCGCAGTGCAGCAAAAGCAGAGATGTGCAATGTAATGAAAACCCCCACAGCCCAAGTTCTTACGCCAAAGTGGGGAAAACGCATCCACTCCCCTAAAGGCAGCCAGAAATCAGTCCCCGAGCAAAAAACCACAAAGGAGTCTCATGGTTTTCCTTCACCAGCTCCTCTGCAGCTCCACCAACCTGGCTTAAGCTCTGCTTGCCCGTCTTCTGGAGGGTGAGGATGGCTTTGTGTGCMGGGTAGCCCAGGGCGATGACAGGCTCGATGAGGTCGCGCTCCTCCTGGCTCAGCGCCGCGAGCAGGTTGGCGGCCGAGTCCGGCTGCGCTCGGCGGGAGCCCAGGGGCCGGGTGGGCGCCGAAGCCGGCGGCAGGCACACGTAGGGGCTCAGGGACTGCAAGGCAAAYGGAGAAACGGGGACGTTTCAGGGCGTTTTGGGGAACCCGAGCGTGGGTTGCTTCCCGACGCTCTCCGGGAGGACCGGGTACCTAACAATATTTACAAACATCCCTTTGGCATTTGGCTGAAATTTCATTCCTAGAAATTTCCGGGCACCAAGAAGTGCTCGCCTTGGTTGGAGGCTTTAGCATTCGCTTTGGTGCATTTAATGCAAGAATTGGCCAGATTGGGGCAACTGCCTAGTAATCAGTTGCAGCAGCTGCTCAGCATACAAATACACACAGGCATTTCGCCTCTCCTTCATTATACTATGTCTAATGCAACTACATATAAATAACAGGGCCTCAYGTGAGTCTGATGGTTTTAATTGCAGATCTGAAGGAATTTGGCTCATAAATCTCAAGGGGAGTGGGTGAAATCATAGAATCATAGAATGCCGAAGGTTGGAAGGGACCTCAAAGGTCATCGAGTCCAACCCCCCTGCTCACGCAGGGTCACCTAGAGCACATGGCACAGGGCTGCATCCAAGCAAATGGATGTTTKAAGCAAATGTGATGTTTTAAAACACTGTGCGATTCAAACGCGCGGCGGCCGAGCGCAGCGCTCGCTCCATCATTCCACYGCCTGTGCTCAGCAACTGGTCTTTATAGCAGGACTGCAAAGACTAAAACTGCCTAGGCTTTTCTTAAAGGGAAATTTAAAAGGGAAAAAAGGGGGAAATTAAAGATCTGGGGGTGTGTGGAGCATCCCCGCGGCGCGCACGGCGCTCACCGCCACAGTGGGCTTGTGCTGCGTGATGGGCGGCATGGCGGTGGGTGGCGCGTGGGCCGGGGGAGCCGGTGCCAGCGGCCGCGGGCACGCGGCGCCCGAGCCGCGTCTGAAGCTCCTCTTGCYGCGGGGATGCTGGTGCAGGGAGGCCAAGGCCGAGGCCGGCTTCTTCTCCGCGCAGGCCCGGTTCAGAGGGTGCACCAGAGCCGCCAGCTTCCTGCGCGCCCCTTCCAGCTCGTTCCTCATGTTGTTGAAGATGAGCACGGACCTCCTGTGGCGGGCGGGCTGCGGGCTGGCCGCCCCGCCGCAGCCGCTCGCTGGCGCGGGCTGCAGCAGCCCCGGGGACGTCTTGGGGCGGCCTTGGGGCGGCCACGCGGGCCTCCTGGCCGCGCTCTCCTCCTCGTCGTTCTCCTCGCAGGACGTGGAGGAGGCCTCGTCGTCCTCCGAGGCCTCGTCCTCCTCGGAGAGCCAGGCCTCGCTGGCGGCGGCGGCGCTCAGGCTCACGCTCCTGCGCACGGCGCCGCCGGCCTTGGCCCTGCCCGCCGCCTCCTTGTCGCCGTCGCGGGGCTCYACCAGGAGCAGCCAGCACGGCGGCGCGCTGGGCGGCACGGCGGAGGCCATGCCGCCTCCACACGTCTGCTGCGGCGAAGCGGCTTCCAGCCAGTACAGCACCTTCCTCTCCAGCGAGAAGTCGTGCTGCGGGGGAGCGACGCGGCGGTTAGCCCCGCTGAGCCCCACGCCCGCCCCATGGCCGGCTCCAGCTGCGTCCCCGCGGGGATCCCCAGCCTCTACCCTCGGGAACGCCACCGCAAGGTGCCTGCTGCTGCCGGTGCCWTTTCAAGCCCTGCTCTGGGGCGGTTTTGCACCAGGGAAGGGACAAGGCGGGGTCCTGGGGGGGCTCCCTCCCCAGCTCCATCCCTGTGGAACAGGCGGCCCCACGGGAGCCGCTTCCGGCACCGCGGCAGGTCGCAGGGCAGCGGAGCCGCTTCCACGTCCCCTGCCTTAAAATATCTTYGTGGCTTAAATCCAAGGGTTTCCTGGAAAAAACGAGTCCCGGGGGCCTCAGTGCTCTGCAAACAACCTCCCTCCCCGGCCTGGCAGCGAGCGCCTTCCCTGGAGGGCAATGGTGGTGGGCAGCTCTGCACAGAGAGCTTGTCCGCTGTGGCGAGGAGGTGGCCTCCCCAGCACAGCACCAAGGCACGGGGCCTCCGGATCGCCATTCCCAGCGGGATGCGGCCTCCGGAGCGCCGGAGGGAGGAGCGCTGACCCCACCTACGGGCGAGACTCCTCAAGGCACCGACCGCGAGGAGGAGCGTGTCGGAAAGGGCGGCTGAACCAAGCCCTGGCGTGTTCCATAAACCAGCCTCCGCGTGCTCCATGTAACCGCACAAGGGTTGAGCTCGGCTCCATTCCTAGGCTGGGGTTTAGCGCTGCTGCCAAGCTGCTGCAGCCCCCGGTGTAGGTCCCAAAGCAGCTCAGCACTCACAGCACCCCACGGAGTCCCCTGGTCCCATCCCACTGGCATTGCCCAAGGCTCCCAGAGCAGGGCCTGAAGCTTGCCATTGAGATATAGATATAACTCCCGAAGAAAACCAGCCTGCAGCTCTCCATTGCCTCAATCTTCAGGTTTGGGCAAGATCAAGAAAAACCATGACCCCAACCCAAGCCCTTCCTCACACCCCGCTCCGCAAATCCCCCTCACCTCCACCCACTGGAGAGCACCGGTGACGAGGACAAGGATACCAAGGAGAACTCTTCCTCCCTGGAATTATCATTGACTTCCCTTACAATCCCGCCGGAGCTGCCCGGGCTTGGCCCCCGCTTACCATGGTGCTCACGAGGAGCTCGGCGCAGTCGGGCACGTCGATGGCCGGCGCGCTAACCAGGCCGCCCTGTCCCAGCGCGGCGCCCTCGAAGCTCCGCGCCGCCCTGAACGGCACCCCRTCCAGGTAGCTCATCCCGGCGGCGGGAACGTCGGCTGCAGCACGAAGGAGAAATCCCTAAGGAACGACACAGAGGCGGCATCGCCAAACCTGTTCGAGGGCTGTTCAACGAGCCCTGGAAGGCCRGAATAGCTCTTAGGAACCCACGGGTCATTTTAAGCTTGCTGATGTTTTTTAGATGGAGAATGGCAGTGACTTCCAAATTTCTGGAAATGGCGGCATGGAAAATATTACTGCAGTCGTGTAGCCATCGGTTCTGCACAAATGACTCAATTTAGTAAAAAATAAAAAATAAGCCGCTACTTGTTGCATGAAGCCCTGAGTCCCTTGCTTCCCAGTGATGACAGCAAGCAAAATAGTTTCCTTTACACAGTGTTGACTGGCAAAACCTGACGGCAAGTCTTCCAGCAAGTCCTGGAATCTAAAGTYTGTGCCTATTTTAAAAAATTTCCAAAGCAGCAGTGCTCAACAGTATTTCTGAAGGCATGAAAAGTAAATATTTGGCATTGCAGCAATATCCACAGTGCTTTTCCTTTTATTTTTCTTTTTTATTTTTCTTTCAAAAAGAAACGGCTCCTGCACAAGGGAGGATAAACACTGCGAAACGAGCAGCCGAAGGCACGCGAAGGACGGCAGGTTGCGTGTTGGGTTGCTCTGAAACGAAGGCTCCAAGGAGCTTTATTGCAAGGAACCAAAGCGAGGGGAGCTGCAGCTCGTGGCTGGCGCTGCCCGGGCGCCCTGGCCCGCTCTGCTGGCCCCGCACGTGGCCGGGGGTTCACGTGCCCCCGGTGCCACGTGCCCGGCGCCCGCACGCGGCCCGGCCATCTGCTCCGCTGCGTAAGAGGGCTCAGCGGCGGCAGGGACACACGTGGTGGCACCTGCAGCAGAGCCSCAGCACACTGGGGTCACCCGCAGACACCAGTAACGTGCAGGGGACAAAACCCCTCCGTTAACGGCAGGGGACAAAGCGACCGCCCGTCCCGGCAGCTCTGCCGCATCCATCCCTGCCAGCGGGCATCAGGTGCAAAGGAAGCAGCTTGCTGCTGTCCTAAAACAGACCCGCCTGCTTCTAAACCCAACTGGAAGGGATGGGCACAGGTAGGAGGGAACACGTCCGAAGGAAATAACAAGATTTGGTGCCGACAGGGCTGAAATCCGTGTTAAAGTTTCCGTAGTGCACGGGCTTGTTTACAGGCAGCCAGCTGGGCTTTCTTTAGAGTCCAACGTCAACAGAGTCACAGCCACATYAAAGCCCAGCTGTCCTCACACGGACCCGGAATAACCTATAGCTCAGTAACATCGGCCGCCCTTTCCTTATGCTGCTGCATTATCCTCCTGAACTTCACTGCACAAATACTGCGGATAAAAAAAGGCTTCCGCAAACATTCATTCCCAAAGCAGCTATTTAAGAAAAAAACACACACCCTCCTTGGGGTGAGGAGTCATGACTATGGTAGTGCACTTAGGAATAAGAAGGGATTGCTGATAAATCCCAATTTACACCAAAAAGCAGCTTCTGCAGGGGCCCCTACCGACCTCAGCTGCTCCGTTACTGCCTCACACCACTCTTGCCACCTTCACTTTAAAGATATAGGCTGAAAAACACACAGCAAAACACTAAATCACACTGGGACAAGGCAAGGGAGAGCCTGCAAACGAGTCTTGGAAGCTCCTGTCAACCCCTTCTGTCCTCTGGTTTACAGTTTAATTTAAAGTAGTAAGAAGGATCTTACTACGCTTGGACAAATTTGAATGTTAAGATTAATATTAAATTTGCTCACAACTTTTAAAGAATCAGCACGTCATCTCTCATGGGTTTTTTTTTCCAGCTGTGATTTTAAACCTTCCTCTTTCATCTGTAGCTTCAACATCTTACAAATAATACAAAACCTTTTAATGCAAACATCGTTAGACAGCAGCAAACATCTAAAATAAACCTATCAAGCTTGTGAGCTAAATCTAGCTAAATTCACACATAATCAGCTGGCATTTTCCAGTCTTTTATGAAGAATATAAGGCTGTCCTTACCTTCAGACACTCTCATGCACCTCTTTCACGTGGCAGAGCAGCACCGCATTGCAGGGATGTGTGGCCGCCGCTTAGGTCTTTAAATTCTTGCACAGTCAGAGCAGCATCTGAGTTACGTTCGTGAGTTTTAAGATTACAGGAGCTTAAGGAGTTAGCCTGTCTCAGCAGATGTGCTGACGGGATAAGCAGCCTAGCTATTTAAGCAAGGCATCCTCCGGCCACCAGCCTTCCTGCGTGCAAAGTGCCATTTCTGCAATTGTTTTTGCACTATTTGAACTTTTGCCTGATGTATCCGAGGGTACCAAAAAGCTGCATGTTGGGAGAGGGATGGGGAGAACATATAGACAGGCAAAGCAGAATGCCTGTTTTTGAATACTTCACACAAAAAAAATGTGTTTTGTGCTGCTTATAGGCAGGCAAAACAAGGCAGGAGCAAGACCTGCACCTGTCCACATTCCCCTATTCTAAATCTTTCAGAAATTACTAAGAGAAGCCAATGCAAAGGGTCAGCCACAAAACGACGAGCATCCCCCACCAAGCCTGAGCTCTGATCAGCTCAGTCGAGGCACCGTGCGCTGCCTCCCCGGCGAGTTACACAACGCTGCAAGGCGAGGGGGTAACGAGTGGGAAAGCTGCGGTCCATTCCCACACAGCAGGGATGACTGCATCCCTGGAAAAATTCCACTGCAATCTATCCGCAGAGACCAAAAAAAGCCCCCAATCCATATGGCCCGTCACCATCTTAAGCGAGTTGGACAGAAGATGGAAGGCTTGGAAATCCAAACCCTCTGATGCCTGGTGAGAGGTGGCAGCTCCTTTGCACAAACCTTCTGCCCGCAGCGCTCCCGACAGGAGCGATCACATCTCATGCCAGCTACTACGGTAATTTTCTCCCTTGGAGCAAAAATGCTTCTAACAATACAGAAGAAAAACAAAATACCATTTTTCTGTATTTATTCGGTACAAAAAAGAAACTTCACAAAAAGAGCTGCACTTTTTACATCAAGTATGACCTCTTCTAGAGAAAAAATGTTATATATTATATATATTAAACATAACTACCACATATAGGCAAAAACAGTAAGTTAGATTTCAGGTTTTGATCTCTTTTGGTTTGTTTTCTCCAAGAAGAATTATTTATCAAATATATATATATATATATTCACATGACTGTCTGACCTATTTCAGCATGAGAGGACATTTTTTCCATGTTATGGTACCAGTTTTAGTCCACAAAAGCAAAATGTCAACAGCTGATAAAAATCAAGCTTAAAAAAAAAMCCTGTCTTGTTTATATTTTAAGGATTCGTTTCAACTTGTAATATGTTCCTTCCTACTCACAAAAACACAGCAATTACTCTGAGAGTGATGCCTGACATGCTTCATTTAATAAGCAAAATATCATTCTTATTAATGATTTTTTCTTCTTCTGGAGATTTCATCATCTTGATTMAGGCTTATAAAAATAAAAGTGGCTAAAAACAGTATGCTAATATTGGTACAAATAACTTTGTCAGCAGCGTTACTTTATTAAGACCCAGAGTTGTTAGCAAAGCGCGCAGCGGGACTGCACTTCCAAACCACAGCATGTCTAACAGCTTCGTACTTGCTCAGGTATTTCCCTGCAGATCCAGAAGGCAAAAACATTTATTTAGCAGCTTTATTCAAGGAATTCCAGTACCTGGCTAGACACTTAACAACCAGAAACAGGGCCCAAGGACATTACTTCTTCTTTGGACCCTCCTTCCTCTCACAAATACACACACAGCCACAGGGAGCATTGCTACAAGGTGAAAATGGTTTGTTGATAAGTTATCTGACAGCAGTGGCCCAGGTGTCACTGGAAGGGAGACTTGGAAGGACCCAGCCCGGAGGGATGCAGCTTCCTTCAGGGTGATCCGCTGGCACCAAGTACTGATCCCATTCGTGCCTTTAACAGAAAGAGCATTGTTTGAGAAGATATCCATCCCAATTTAGCTTCGTTAACAAGATTTATTATATACCCACATGCATATTTTTTTCATACCAAGCAGCACACAATCCATTATAAACTGTACTCTAAACATTTTTTTTTCCAAAACAAATGCAAAATTAAATACAGAGTCTTATGAAAGACATAGTGATACCCAGAAGGGCACTCTGCCTCACAGTGGATTCTGTTGGATACAACTTCATCAAGCTTGAGGCAGAGAACACTTAATTGAAGAGGCAGGAAAATAATGCGGCATGTATAACTATATCTGGAAGTTAAGGAACTAAAAGAACTATAATTTTAGAACCTCAACAGATGATAGCTATCATCTCAGATAATAAAATATTTTCTTTATTTTACCTGATCTGGATTAGAGCTGCTACAGAATGTTCAGCTTGTAAGTAATAGTCTCTGAAGGGTTGCAATAGATGGACTAGGGGAAATTCATCTGTTAAAACACACACACAGAAATTGTTCAGTAACAGAGGCTTCCAATTCTAGCAAGTCTTAGAAGCCCAACATATGCCAACTCACATGTTACTTCCCAGCTAAAATTGAAAGCTATTTTCCTATATAATATATTAAGAGTTAGTTGCATGTTCTGCACATCATTATCAGTATTGCTATAGAGAAAACAAGAGTATTCAAACTTTTCCTGCCTTTATCCTTTAAAAGAGGTGAACGTATCTCTACAAACCTCTACGACCTATTAAACCATACCTATTAAATCTCTACAAATTATCCAGGTCACACCTCTCAAATCACCAAAATAAAGCAACTACTGTCTGTCTGAAGTCTACCTATTCTGTTTATCCCRCACTCAGCTGTATCTGCAATCTCTTTCTGCAAAAAGAATTATGACACCACCCTGAGGAAGCACTGATACTCTATAGCCTACACTGATGAGCCAACGGTTCTTCTTACATTGCATTTAATAAATTAAAACCAGTTAAACTCTTCTTGCTATGTTTATCTTGTCTTTTCCACAGAATATAAGTTATTCCAGCACATGACTTCTTTCTCTGACAATTCATGTTTGCATTTTAATGTAGCWCCTAGAAGTTGAAAGAAAATAAGAACAGTTCACTCAACATGCAGAACTCACCTGGCTCCCCAAACAATTTGGAATCAATTTCACGTTTTTGCTGGAGAAGCTTTTCCCTTTCCTTCTTCTGCTTCTTTTCCATTTCTCTCTTCCTTTCTTCCTCCTGTTCCCCCTCCAACATGACCCTCAGTGCCCGCTCTTCAGCCTCRTACAGCTCTGTTCGGTTCTTCAGCAACTTTCTGAGACTCTCCACTTGACTTTCAAACGCTTCATCTGCGGAGGGAGGCGGACAAACACCTAAACAGGAAAAAAGAAATAATTCAAGRGCTTTTAAATTCAGAAGGAGTTTTCTCACCAGACTTAAGTGAGGAGTTTGCAGAGCCTCCAATGAACATAAGCCTTATACATAAGCTTAATATGTTCAGTATACAATAAACATAAGCTTAACCTTGCTGTACAATGTCTTTATCAAGCAAGAGCTTGGAAACCAATCAGCACAACTGCTGCATTCACTTTGTTATCCAGACGTCTTATAGCTCTTTTTGCATAATAATTTAATAACAAGGTGAGTTGACGTCTCAGCATTTACCTTTCCTTGCAGCAGCCTCCTTCCTCAGCTTCCTCAGCTTTTCTAAGGAGCGCAGGATATCCACCATCCTCTTGGTATCTGCTTGTTTCTTCCTCACTTCAGATAAGACGCTGTCAGCAGCAGCTTTAAGTTCCTGCTCCTGTGAGGGGAAAGAAGGAAAAATGAAGAAATCAGAAGGGATGTGTGAAGCAGCCCATGAAGACAGGAATGAAGTGGTATTTTCAAAAAGATGAGGGAAGAATGAATGACCCCAAATGTTAGCACAACCAGAGCAAAGAAATCCATCATCCACCACCAAGAGAAACTTAGCAAGCCATGTAGGAAACACCCATCCCAATCCTGGGTGCTGTAAATACACCCAGTGCTAACAGGTAAGGAGCATTAAATGGAGCTAAAGGGCGTTAATGGCCACGGTCGGAGCAGGGGGCACCCGCAGAGGAGCCGGATGGCGCAGAGGCCTCCAGAGCCCTTCTCGACACGGGAAACACCCCAAACTGGAGCGTTTTCCTCATGGATAAGGAGGGGAAGCTCTTGCAGAGGTGGCTTTGCAGGAACAAGCGGGCAGGGATGGGATGGGCGATGGATTCAGCTCGGAATGGCTGCAACACTGCTGTCCTGGTAGGGAGCAGGAGGGATGAGGGAGGCAAGTTAAGGAAGGTGAGGGGACAGAGAGGAGGTGAGGGGATGGCAGAAAAGAGAGATATGGGGAAAGAGAAGGGGATGTGGGGAAGGAGAGGGGACAAGGGAAAGACAAGCGGACACAGGGAAACGGGATGGGGAGAGGCCAA